CTTCATTTTTTTCTTATGAGATTAGCTATACATTAAATTTAAATCTGCCATTTCTTCAGTTTGTAATTGAAATTGTTCCAGGTTTGCTTTCCCAGCATGTTGCCAGAACAAGAAAACCACTGTATGAAAATTAAAAACTTTCTATCTAAGGATACCTCAGTATTTATAAAATTTATATAAAATGCTAACAACAATAATATCACAGATACTTTAAATCAAGTAGAAAATATATGAATGCTTCCACAAGAAAAAAAATGCCCAACATATAAAAGAACATATGCACAAATGTTAACTATGGCTAAGAAAAAATTTGAAATATATAGTTAAGTAAAATTCCAAAATAAAAATTAAAACAGACTTTGTTTTTCCACTTATGTTGATGAAAGTTAATACACTTGATAATTATCAATATTGGTGGATACTTTCTGAGATGGGCACTCATACACTGCTAGAATGTTTCGAGAGCTTTAACAATATATCACTTTGAGTGTATATTACCACAGAGCCCACAGAAATACAAATAACCATCAGAAAATATTACAAACAACACTATGCACACAAACTAGAAAATCTATTAATAGGAGATGTGGATAGATTCCTGGACACATACAGCTCCCAACACTGAACTAGGAATGAATTGAATCCCTAAACAGACCAGTAATGAGCTCTGAAATTGAATCAATGATTAATAGCTTACCAACCAAAAAAGCTCAGGACAAGACGGATTCATAGCCAAGTTCTACCAGAAATACAAAGAAGAGCTGGTAACATTCCTAGTGAAGGTACCCAGAACAATGAGGAGGAGGGATTCCTCCCTAACTCATTCTATGAAACAAGCATCATCCTGATACCAAAACCTGGCAGAGACACAACAAAAAAAGACACTTTAGGTCAATATTTTTGATGAAGATAAATGCAAAAATCCTCAACAACATATTGGCAAACCGAATCCAGCAGCACAACAAAAAGCTTACCCATAATGATCAAGTAGGCTTTAACCCTGGGATGCAAGGTTGGTTCAACATACTCTAATAAATAAATATGATTCATCACATAAACAGAACTAAAGACAAAATCCACATGATTATCTCAGTAGATGCAGAAAAAGCTTTCAATAAAATTTAACACCTCTTCATTTTAAAGACTCTCAACACACTAGGTGTTGAAAGGACACGCCTCAAAATAATAAGAGCCATCTATAACAAACCCACAACCAACATCATACTGAATGGACAAAAGCTGGAAGCATTCCCCGTGGAAACCGGCACAAGTTAAGGAAGAATGCCGTCTCTCACAATTTCTATACAACATAGTATTGGAGGTCCTGGCCAGAGTAATCAGGAAAGAGAAAGAAATAACGAGCATCCAAATAGGAAGAACAGAAATCAAACTATTCCTGTTGGCAGATGACATGATTCAACATCTGGAAAGCCCCATGGTCTCAGCCCAAAAGCTCCTTAAGCTGATCAACAACTTCAATGAAGTCTCAGGATACTAAATCAATGTGCAAAAATCACTAGCATTCCTATCCTTCAACAATAGTCAAGTTGAGAGGCAAATCAGGAATGCAATTCCATTCACAATCACCACAACAAGAATAAAATACCTAGCAATACAGCAAAACAAGGAGGTGAAAGATCTCTACAAGGAGAACTACAAACTGCTGCTCATAGAAATCATAGATGACACAAACAAATGGAAAAATATTCCATGCTCATGGATAGGAAGAATCAATATTGCTAAAATGACCATACTGCCCAAAGCAATTTATAGATTCAATGCTATTTCTATCAAACTGCCAAGGACATTCTTCACAGAACTAGAAAAAAAAAACCTATTTTTAAATTCATATGGAATCAAAATATAACCCAAATAGCTGAGGCAATCCTAAGCAAAAAGAACAAAACTGGAAGCATCATGCTACCTGACTTACTATACCACAGGGCTACAGTAACTAAAACAGCACAGTCCTGATACAAAATACAGACACTACACAAAAATGGAACATAATAGAAAGCCCAGAAATAAGGCCATCTGATGAAATAAGGCCCAATAAAATAAGGCCACTTACAATCATCTGATCTTTGACAAATCTAACAAAAACAAGCAGTAGGGGAAAGACTCCCTATCTAATAAATGGTGCTGGGATAACTGGCCAACCATATGGAGAAGATTGAAACTGGACTCCTTCTTTATGCCATATACAAAAATCAACTCAAAATGGATTAAAGACTTAAATGTAAAACCCAAAACTATAAGAACCCTGGAAGACAACCTAGGCAATACTATACTGGACCTAGGAATAAACAAAGATTTCATGATAAAGAAGACACCAAAAGCAAAAATTGACAAGTGGGAGCTAATTAAGCTTAAGAGCTTCTGCACAGCTAAAGAAACTATCAAGAGAGTAGCAGCCTATAAAAGGGGAGAAAATTTTTGCAAACTATGCATCTGACAAAGGTCTAATATTCAACATCTGTGAATAACTTAAACAAATTTACACCAAAAAAAACACCATTAAAAAGTAAGCAAAGGATATGAACAGACACCTTTCAAAACAAAACATACATGTGGCCAACAAGCATATGAAAAAAAGCTCAACATCACTAATCATTAGAGAAATATGAACCAAAATCACAATGAGATACCATCTCACACAAGTCACATGGGTCATACCATTCGACCCAGCAATCCCATTACTGGATATATACCCAAAGGAATATAAATCATTCTATTATAAAGATACATGCATGCATATGTTCATTGCAGCACTATTCATAATAGCAAAGACATGGAGTCAACCTAAATGCCCACCAATGGTAGACTGAATAAAGAAAATGTGGCACATATGTACTATGGAATACTATGTGGCCATAAAAAAGAACAAGATCATATCCTTTGCAGGAACATGGATGAAGTTGGAGACTATTATCCTTTAGCAAACTAATGCAGGAACAAAAAACCAAATACCACATGTTCTTACCTATAAGTGGCAGCTAAATGATGAGAACACATACAAACATACATAGAGGAGAACAACAGACCCTAGGGCCTACCAGAAGGTGGAGGGTGGAAGGAGGAAGAAGATCAGGAAAAATAACTAAGGGGTACTAGGCTTAATATCTGGGTGATAAACAATCTGTACAACAAATCCCCATGACACAAGTTTACCTATATAATCAACGTGCATGTGTATTCCTGAACTTAAAAGTTAAAAAAAAAAATCACGTTGAGCTAATAATTTAATTTAAAAAACTGTTCCCTAAAGATTTAACCAGCTACTGATACACTCAAATTCATTATATAGCCACTATCTAGCCAACACTTTGAAACAAAATGAATATTTAAAAAATAGGAACCACACTCTTCTCACTTCTTTGCCCTTTCAATGAGGGATCCTGAGGGATACTTTCTATCCTCATTTCAAAGACCCTAACTACATAAACAAGAGAAAGAGTTTTACCTATCTAACAGTTAATTCGGTAAAATATATTCAACATTATACACATAGGCTGATTATATTGTATGCAATATTGATTCTTTTTGTGTAATCTTAATATGAGCATACTAAGCAGCTGGGGTTTAGACTGGGCCTTGAAAGAAAAGTGGCAAAAAAGCAAATAGAGAAGATTTTCATTTAGTTAATGAAGGTGATATCTTTATTATTTCTCTTTTCTCTTTTGGATCTTTTAGTATTGTACTAGGAATATAAACAGCTATGAGGGAGCTATACTGTTTAGCTATACTGTTTAGCAATCAAGACTTGATCTCATTTTGAGTAACATTATTTGAGCATAAAAGTAATGATTTTCTTTTAAACGTAGGCTTTTCAAAGATTTTCTCTATACTTTAGTGCGATTTTATTACATCTAAGGATGATGTTTCTCCTCTGCCCCAAGAGAAACAAATTTTCCATTTTATGAAGTCAGCGGGGATCCAGACTCAATTTATAAAAATTAACTTCACAGGGAACTTTTCCTAAGACTAACTATTGCCACATGAGGAAGTTACACACTGGTAATCAAAGGCTCACTTGCAGAAACAACCATCTAGCATTAAGATGCCAGTAAAAACTGAAAAAAAGATGAACTGTACTTTCTCTGAAAGAAACAAGGATTCTCGTCTGATTGAGCACCATCTTTACATTTAGGATGATATTCCTCAAAATCAGTGTGAAAGATTACCTTCTGGGGGTCCAGGAAGAACATATTATAACCTTTGTTTCATTTACTTCTCATCACATCCCTTGAATCTACGGAACAACAATGGGAGAATTTTAAATATTTATCTCCTAATGTAAATGGGAATCTTGATGATTAAACCATTGCAGAGGCAAATCAGTTCATCACATTCCTGGGCTATTACCTTTCTGAAAGGTTTAAAGAAAAGACTTTGTATTTTGCCTTGAAAGTAAAAATGTAAGAAGAAAGCAAAATAAAAGGTCTTTTTTTTAATCCTGCAAAATAATTTTCCTATGTCATGAATCTATTTTATAACAAATTACAGAGACTGTTAATTCCATGTTTCCTTAGTTCTAAGGCACGCATTCTTTTAAAATATGTAATATAATTAAAACTGAAGTGCTCATTACAATATGGCATCTTAAGATTGTTGCAGTTGCCATTTCTTTGGCATGAGCAAACATGAAAAGTGGCAACATCAGCCTACTGGGAGAGAACTCCAAAGATAATAACGGGGCGTTCGCTAGAAAAATGCTGCCCATGAATTGGATGACCCTGAGTTAGAAGGTAATTCAGGAAAGTTAGATGCTGGAGGTGAAGAAGCTTCAGAATAGGTTAACTTGTTTATCTCACTTTTACTTTCTTTTTATGCGTGTACAAGAGTGACATACAATAAAAGGCTATAGTTAAGTAGCTATAAGATTTCCTCCAATAAGTATAAAATAAAATTTTTAAGTGATAAGAAAGCATTGTATCAGTTTTATTGGCAGCATATTTTCTTTCTTATTAGTACCTAAAATAATGACTGTACAGTCAACAATACCTTAGATAGATTCAATGAAATGTGATACACCCACTATAACACATATGCTCTAGGTTATAAGAGAAAAACAACCTTGGTCTTCATCTTTTGCTTTTCTTCTGCTCTTTTCAGTGTCAGTATGTGTATGTTAATATAAGCCCCTCATGCTGCTTCTTATGGCTCTTTTTCAAGTACTGGGAAATAAAATAAACAGAATAAGCTATCAGACTCTCCAGTAAAAGGCAGAGATAAATAATGCTAAAAGCAGGCAATATACATACTTACATAATGCAAGCAATATCAAAAAGAATACCACAAAGTATTTTGAAATGGAGCATAAACCAAGTTTCATAAGTGGAATCTAAGATACAACAGAAAATATGTATTTTACAAGAGATTTGGAAATTATTATCATAGAAGTGAATGTCTGTAGGAAGATAGTGATTGTTGCAGATCTTAAGGGCATAAGAATTGAGTATCTTATAGCTGATGTGAACAACAACCTGCAAATTCTGGCATGCAAGCTTTCATCATGATTTGAGGAAATCATTTCCAATCATTTTCCAGTTCCCAAGCTAAATGTGCTGGGCTTGTCCTCAAGGCACATTTTAAAGGCACTGAGAATACCATTCCAGTCACCAGCCATCTGTCCACACTGGAAACCACCAACATATTTATTGGCTTTGCATACATAAGGTTCCTTCAGTGGCTCTGGTGTTCCTTTGACACATTTGGGACATAGATTCTTGGGCTGGGCTGTGAACACTTGGGCTCTGAGCCTAGTAAACTTAATATTTACCATAGCCAACTAACCATTTCCCACCTTCCTGGTGCACAGCCAAAATGCTGAGCACTGTTCTCGGCTGCTCATATCCTTCTCAGGCTGGGGAAGAAAACTTGACTCTCTTTCTCATTTTTCTCAGTCATTCTCTTTTACTCCAACCCTTCTGGGACACCTATAGTCTCTCTTCAGAAGGTTTGGGCTTTTACCAAAGACTAGAGAATCTCAGATTTACACAGATGCTGAATTATAAAAGGGCCCTGTAGCTGCTTAAAAGGAAAAGAATGCTAAGGAGATATAGGGAAGACACACACCAATTACAAATTATGGTGTCACATTTATGCCAGAATCTCTTACCTTCCGCTGAGCATTTCCTGGCTAATATCAATTAATCACAACAGTAGCCAAGAACAGCACAGTCCTTTTGCAGTAATCGCTTGAAATGTACTTGCTCACAGACCACAAAGCTGCCCAAGTCACTAAAAATACCACTGGACCATTGTGTTTATTACCATAAAAAGTGATAAATCATTCAAATATTCTGAAAATTTTTAAGTTAGGAGGTATTTTGTTAGGTATTGTCGAAATGCTAATCTTGTCTTTTTAAATCCTAGAAGTCAGTCTGTACTTTGCATCATTTCACCGCCGTAATCCTGAAGTGAAACAACCATGGCGAAATAGTGCAGTAGAAGGAAGCTGTAGAATGCCAGTTTATGAGTGTGTTTATTCTGCAGAAATTTTACTGCTGCTCAAACTGACTGCTTCTTTAGTGCCTTAAATCAAACAGCATAATCTGTGGACTCAAGATCAGAACAATAAACTTCGCTGAATTTACAGGCTCAGGAGAACAGCATTCAATAGGGCCTTTTATTATGACCCTATCCTGACAATGTTTTTCTGACTTTCATTGCTTCAGGAATTCATAGGATAGATGCCAAAGCAGTATGTTGTTTTGAGTGTGAGCCCTACCCCCACTGTTAATCACACCAAATATTGAAGAAAACAACTCAGATAGGAGAGCACTATACAGTAGGGCCTCTAAGGTGGATGCAGAAAATTGTTCTGCTTCATGTTAACAAACACATTTTGAAAAATGGAGATGTAGAGCCATTTAATCATAATGTTCAGCTTTCTCACTTACAGACCTTGCATATTAGAATTATTACGCATCACTGGGGTGTAGATGGATGACACATACAGGTGAGTTATATAAGGACAGAAACCAGCATAAAGAGGGCAAGAGAGTGCAGTTTAGAGTGGCTTTCCAGATTTTATATAATTTTGTACAAAGGAAACCTTTTAAAATCTAGCTTTAAATTAATTAATCTCACTTTCCATTAATTATTTAATTTAATACACAATCATGTTATGTTATGTAATTTTATAGCGAACAATAGAAATCGACAGAAGAAATAGGTAAGATAAAAGTAAATACAATTATATTTCTAACGATTTCCACTGGTGTTGGTCACTGGCTTCGTAGTCATGGAAACCCAAGTTTGAGTTTTCCTGATGTTATTAACAATCCGTATGAATCTGAGCAATTTTTGTAAGTTCTCTTGGCCTTATGGGGTTAGTAGTTAGCACAGGTTGTGGGCCCATAGCAAAAGCAGCTATCATAATGGTGATGATGATGATGTTTCAGATTATCATTACCTTTCAGGGATCAGATAAACATGGGAAGGATAGTCAAAGAACAGTCATAACTTCCTCCACTCCACTACCACCAAGGGGTTTCCGACTTGATCTTAAATAACTTTATTGAGAGGGAAACTTTGCCTTCCAACTCTTCTGCTTTGAGAAAAATTACAGGTTGAGATACAGAGTAATTTCTTTGTCCTCTTCTTCATAATCATTTCTATAAAAATATGCTAAAAATTTAGGATTGTGGAAGTTAAGGCAGGAAGTTGCTGTCTGGGTCTTTAGCCCCTTTGAAATGAAGTTAACACAGGAAGAAGAGAATACTCTAGTAAACCTCAATATCAATTTGCAGATAATTGACATCTCTATTTTACGGACTCTTTCAATCCATAAACACAGTATGTCTTATTTAGATTTTTTGTTAGTTTGTTTCTAGTATCAGCATTTTGTTGTTTACAGCATAAAGGTCCTGGACATTTTTTTTAGGTTTTCAACTAAGTTGTGTTTGTTTTGTTTGGTTGGTTGGTTAATGATTAAATGGTATTCTAATTTCAGTTTCAACAGGTTCATTGCTAGAATATAGAAATAGAGTTGATTTTTGCATGTTGATCTTGTATCCTGAGACTGCTGAACTTATCTAATTAATTCTAAGGGAGTTTGGTTAATTGAATTTTCCACATTCATGCCATCTGCAAACGGGGGCAGTTTCTTTTTTTTTTTTCCTAATCTGTATGCTTTTTTTTTTTCTTGCTTTATTGTGCCAGCCAGAAATTCCAGCATGAATGCTAAATAGCAGTGGTGAGAGCAGACATTCTTTTTTTTTTTTTTTTAAGTTCTAGGGTACATGTGCACAACGTGCAGGTTTGTTACATATGTATACATGTGTCGTGTTGGTGTCCTGCACCCATTAACTTATCATTTACATTAGGTGTATCTCCTAATGCTATCCCTTCCCACTCCCCCCACCCCATGACAGGTCCTGGTGTGTGATACTCCCCAACCTGTGTCCAAGTGTTCTCATTGTTCAATTCCCACCTATGAGTAAGAACATGCGGTGTTTGGTTTTCTGTCCTTGTGATAGTTTGGAGAGCAGATATTCTTAGCTTTTTTCTTTTTCTGTTCTTAGGGGAAAAACATTTAGTCATAGTAATTATACTATAATGTTAGCCATCAGTTTTCTTGTAAATATTTGTTATCAAGATCAGAAAACTGACCACTATTTCCAGATTTCTGAGAGTTTTTGTCATGAACGGGTGTTGGATTTTGTCAAATGCTCTTTCTGAATCTGTTGATAAAATCATGTTATTGTTTCTTGGCCTGTTAATATGATTTTATTATTAATTTTACAATATTAAAACAACCTTGACCCCTGTAATAAAGCATACTTGGTCATAGTGTATAAATCTTTTTATATATTGCTAAATTATATTCACTAATGTCTTAGTAAGGATTTCTGCATTATTTTTGAAAGGGATATTGACTGTCGTTTTCTTTGTCTTATTTGGTTTGGTATCATGTTCTCCTGGTTTCATAAAAGATTATTCTCTTTCTGGCAGAGACTCTGTAGAATTGATGTTAATTCTATTTTAAACATCTGGTAAAATACTCTAGTAAAATCATCTAAACCTGGAGATTTCTTTTTGAGGGGTATCTACTTATGAATTTAATTTCCATAATAATTACATGGCTATTTAAATCTATTTAAATTATCCATTTCATAATGAATGCATTGTGGTTGTTTGCGTTTTTAAGGATTGGTCCATTTTTTCAAAGTTGCTAAATTGATGGGTATAAAAATCTTTACAGTATTTCCTTACTATTCTTTCCATTCCTTCAGAAATCTGCGGTAATATTTGCTATTTCATTCTTAATATTAGCATTTTATGTCATCTTTTTTTAGTCATGCTAGAAGTTTGCACATTTTACTGATATTTTCAAAGAAGTAGCTTTTTGTTTCATTGATTTAAAAAAAAAATTCTGTTTTCAATTTTGTTAATTTATAATTTTATCTGTATTATTTTCTTCCTTCTACTTGCTTTAGGTCTACTTTGATTTTTTTTTTTTAAGTTTCTTGGGGGACTTAGATTATTGATTTTGGAACTTTATCCTTTTCTAATATAAGCATTTAGTCCTATGAATTTCTCTCTCAGCATTGTTTTAGCTTAATACCACATTAGATGTTGCATTTTCACTTCTATTCAGTCCAATGTATTTTTAAAATTTTCCTTTAAGACTTCTTCCTTGACTCATGGATTATTGTGTAGTATGTTGTTTAGTTTCCAAGTGCTTGGATATTTTCTCACTGTCTTCCTGTAACCGATTTCTAATTTGATTCCATTGTGATAAAAGAAAGCAGTCTCTATGGTTTTAATTCCTTTAAATGTGTCGATGTTTGTTTTATGGACAAGGATATGTTCTATCTTGGTAATATGCTCTGTGGTAATTTGAAAAAGCTGTGTATTCTTCTGTGGTTGGGTAGAGTGTTCTATAAATGTAATTAGACCCTGTTGGTTGTTGGCAGCATTGAATTGTTCTATATATCTTTGCTGAATTTGTGTCTAGTTGTTTAATCAGTTATTGAGAAGAGATTTTAAAGACTCCAACTATAATTGTAAATTTGCCTATTTCTCCTTTAAGTTATATCACTTTTTGCTTCATATAGTTTGTAGCCTTGATATTAGGTGAATAAACATTAAGGATTGCTATGTCTTCTCAAAAGATTGACCTTTTTATCATTAAATAATATCCCTTTCTATCTCAGACAATTTTCTT